GTGAAGGGTTTAAGGTTTGAAAACTCGAAGATCACATTGGTTGAGAAGAGAAGAAAGGTAAACAGGGCTACAACTTAAGAAGTAAGGAATCAAAACGAGGTTTAAGGGAGTTGAAAAGGATTTCCCCACGGAGGGTATTCGATTTAAACTCAAGGATAGCGCTAATTATGAAGGGAATCAAGATTTTCAAAGTCACAACTTAGGAAAGATGAGGTTGTAACCTTGAACAGAGTCAAATCAAGAAGGGAACAAGAATGAGGTTTGAAAAACTAGGAAGGATTTCTCGAGAAGGGGCAAGGGATTTGACGAGGGTAAGAGAAGAAGATCGGCTTCAAGAGGTGAAAGGGTTCGTCTCGACTTCCGGCGAAACTTCAGCTTGACGCTGATCACTAAGCTTAGGTCGAACTGAAGGTTCTCTACTTCGACTCAGACGCGGCTTAACTCTTAGACCTTGCCAGATTCCTTCATAAGCTGAAGTCATCGCCGCCTTGCACAAGATGGTTTGGAAAGAAAACAAGAACAAGGTTCGGAAGAAAAATGATGATTACTTGGCAAAAAGGGTGATTCGGTTTGTCTAGGAGAAAGAAAGGATTAAAGAGGGTCAAGGGTGACTCTTGAACTGGCTAACGCCCGAAGCTAACATACCAGAACGAAGGACACAAAGACAAAGCTAAGGGAGGTGCAACAAAAAGGGTACAAGAACTTACTTTAACGGTTCCCACTTGCATCTACCTCACGACTGTGGATCTTACCTTGCCGAGGTCCCGACTTCGTACACAGGTCCTGGATGCTACTTCCACTTAGTCCATTGTTGCTTCCACTTCGAGGCTTACTTCCCGACCGGGGTCCCACACTACCAACTGGTTTTGAGTCCTCTGAAGTCTTCCTCTTAGTCTTGCACTCAAAGGACCGATGACCCTTCTTGCCACAAGCAAAACACTCTACCGGTTTCCCAAGACAGTCCACAAGCAAAGCACTCATATATATACATCTAGAAATAGAAGTATGTACGATAGTACTCGTAAATAATGTAAATGTGAAATCATCCGCATACATAGGCAAATTGTGCAGGTTGAGAAGTGTACTCAAAGAAGAAAAAGCTTCACCAATAACCTTAGGAGTTAGGACCACCTCGAACCGAGGTTGCATTGATGACAAAGTTGTTCCTCAAACAGTGTTAGAAATGGAGAACACGGCAATGACGACCAAAGAACATCATAATTCATGACCATAAATCTTCCACTGCATGCGCAAGTTGACACGCTTCCGCAATCCTTTATTAGGTTTTAGGTTTTATGAAGAGTAAATGGAGTTATGTAAGAGCAATTGTTGGTTTGGAATTATTCAGATATCCACTACCACGTCCATAAATGTGTTTACATTTCGTTATGTTAGTTGGAAATTTGAATTAAAATGACAATTTTAAGTGGTTATTTTGTAGTATAAATATATATGTGGTTCATTTTTTTTATTTTAGGCGGGTCAAAGTATATTCGGATTCTTCGTAGTGAAATGAAAAAGTTGATATATTATGCGTTCAAAATGGATAATGGTGAATGAAAAATTGATTCTCAAAATAGACACACTTGAGTTGAAATTAAATGAGGGTAGGAAGGCTAGGAAGTAGTTAGTAGCCTTTGTCCCATATTAGAAAGAGGTATAGTTTACACTAGTACATAGAAAGAGCTTAAAATGTATATCATAAAGACTATCTTTTGCACAAAAGGGGTGCAAATCAAATCAATTTTGTAACGACTATTCTAAGAGGGCAGTTGCCCCCTCTCATCTCTCCCCACCCCTTATATATATATATATATATATATATATATATATATATATATATATATATATATATATATATATATATTCAGGTGCGAATAGGTGCCCAGGAGAGAAATGTGAACCAATCAGCGCACGTCACGTGTCAGCATTTATTGATCGGGTACACCTACTTTCACCTACAAGTGCACCTACTTTCGCCTGCAAGTGCATGTAGTTTTTGCCTGCATTCATTGATCAGGTGCACCTACTTTCACCTACAAGTGCACCTACTTTCGCCTGCAAGTGCATGTAGTTTTGCCTTGTTAACATTCATTGATCTAAGATCGTTCTGTTTGGCATCGTTTTTTTTCTTGCGGGGAGTTCAACGGGTAGTAGTACCCGTGAAAATCACCCGCAAACATTCATGCACCTAGGTGCAACTACTTATAACTATAGGTGCACTTAGTATTGATGGTGAGTGTAAATTTTACTTGCACCTATAATACATTTTACATGCACTTGTAATACATTTTACTTGCACTTCGATGCTTAATTATTTATGAAAATGCCACCGCGTTTTTTTAAAAAATCAGTGTTTCTCATCCATTAGATCTGTACACGTGGACGAATATCAGGCATTCGCACATTCGCACCCGGGCGCTCCATTCGCACCAGATTGCAATTCTATATATATATATATATATATATATATATATATATATATATATATATATATATATATATATATATAATTAATTTCCAGTGCATTTAAGTGTTTTCCGTGCGGTTGTGCGGTTTTAACGTACGTCAAGTTTGTACTTCAAGTACATGAGTCTTGTGCTTAATGTGCATGGGTTTGTGCTTAATGTGAGTTGTTGTTGAAAACTTATTGAGTGAGTTTTGTGCTTAAGTGTGTGAGTTTTGTGCTTACGGTGCGTGAGTTTTGTGCTTAACGTGCGTGAGTTTTTGCTTAATGTGAGTAGTTGTTGAAACTTAAAAGGTGCCTGAGTTATGTGCTTAAGGTGCATGCGGATTTTGCTTAACATGCGTGAGGCTTATTTTAATGAGATTATATTTGCCCTAATTAAATTAGGATAAATTTAATAAATAGGGGTGACATAGTAATTTGGTTGCCTTATTCTAATGAAATTATATTTGCCCGACAATTCTCTCTCTCTCTCTCTTTTTTTTTTTCATAGGAATTCTATCTAAGGTAGGTATCCAAAATATCAAAACAAACTGATTTGAAGCACAAAAAAAACATAGAGTTTGAATCAACACTTTGCGAATTGAAGATCGCGTCAATGGAGGAACACAACACTAGTGAGTTTTTTTTTTTTTTTTTTTTTTTTTTTTTTTTTTTTTTTTCGCTCGTTCTGTTGATTTATAAAACTATACTGTTGCGCTTATGTTGTGAGGCGTGTGCGATCGTGTTGTTTTATGCATATAACAAACACGATGCATGTTGGAATCTAGAAAATGACTTTGCTTCTAGTTAATGTTGAACAAAAAAGATTTCAAATTAATCATTTTGTCAAAAATGAAAACGCTATATAATCGCTAGCTTTTAGCTCAAGCATATTGAATATGTCCAATAATACCGTTATTATGATTATATAGGTGATAACACTTATACGGGTCGTTTGGTTCACGGAATGTAAGATTACCTTAGGGAATGTTAGATTGCTGGGAATGTTAGATTCCTGGGAATGTTAGATTTCTGTGTTTGGTTAAAACTGAGGTATGTAATATAAACCTGTTTGGTTGAAGAGTTAATGTTTATGTTGTAATAAATATTTTACTTACATATGTCATGTGTATGAAGTTCAAAAGGCTTTATTTTAATTTTTTTACCCACGAAATTAAAATTTTCATCTTCTAAGCAACACCTATTATTATTATTATTATTATTATTATTATTATTATTATTATTATTATTATTTTATAATAAAATATGTAATTATAATAATATAATTTATTATTTATTACCATATAAAAATTAAAAACTCAACAACATAAAAGATATTATCACAATAGCAACAAAATAATATTTTCATAGTAAGAGAATGACAAAGTAAGCAAATAACCAAGGGAATCTCACATTACCTAAAGAAGATGGGGGAATCACATTCCCTCCAAAATCTGATGTGGAGGCTATCTTTGATTCCATGGGAATGTTAGATAACTCCAACCAAACATAGGAATGTTACATAACTAAACAAATATAACCCTGGTTATCTTAGATAACCTGAACTAAACGCCCCTTAATTTTGACTATATTTTACCCCAATCCTTATTCCATTTCGTGCATATTATGGTGTGTTAAGTTGGGAAATTGGACTAATTAATGTGCCTTTGCTTATAGTTTATCCAATTGCACAATGAAGGGGAAAAAAAGCATTTTGAAGATTTATTCCCAAAAAGGGTTGTAAAATCATTTTTAATTTAATGATAAATTTATTTAATATGATCATTTTGAACATTATAATATGATTATTAAATCGGATTTATGTGCCATATTAATGTGAATCATGCTCGGAACGGGCTCCAACCGCATCTTGACAGCCTTTCCTAGTAGTCACGGATAGTTATGCTGTGCATCTGTATGCACCATGCATGGTGCATACGGATGCAAAAACGACGTCGTTTTATTAAAAACGCGCGCCTCCCCTTTAAAAAAAAAAAAATTCAGGTTCGATTCCCAGCAACAGCATTATGGTGTTCGTTCATTCTGGAATTTTAGTTCATAGATTATGGAATTTTAGTTCATTGATTCTGGAATTATAGTTCATCGATTCTGGAATTATAGTTCATCGATTCTGAAATTTTAGTTCATAGATTCTGAAATTTTAGTTCATTCATTCTGGAATTTTTAGTTCATAGATTAGATTCTGAAATTTTAGTTCATAGATTCAGGAATTTTAGTTCATCGATTATGGAATTATAGTTCATCGATTTTGAAATTTTAATTCATATGTTGTTGCTGAGAATCGAACCTGAATTTTTTTTTTTAAGGGGAGACGCGCGTTTTTAATAAAACGACGTCGTTTTTGCATCCGTATGCACCACATGGTGCATACGAACATGGTGCATACGGATGCAGCATAATTTGCCGGTAGTCACCACGTACGATCGTAATGCAACGCATTCAAATCCGTCCAATTGCTTCCCCTAAATGCGTGCTCAAGCCCCGATTGGAGGCTAATGGACTGACTACGGGTCACAATACGCCATCCATCAGTACTAATTTGACAAGAGTAAACTAAAGTTGTAATTACATACATAGCTAGGTAGGTTCTGGTGGGGGCTGGAAATGGCATATATAGTTTCATTCTCATCATGTTACATGTATGCCTGCAATACTACAACCACATACCTATTTCTATAACAATCATTCAATACAATAGGAGTAATTAGGAAGATGTATGGATCCATTGATCACCTTGAATGAAGTTGTCTATAGAGTAGGATGATACATGTTCGGCCGGAATCTGGCTGCTCCAATTCACACGTCCCGACGTCGTAGCTCCCGCCCCGGTGTTCTGGAACTCCCCATAATACAGAGTCTTCAACGCGAAATCACCACTCCACGGCATCCATCCGTCCGGTGAAATCAGAGCTTCCAAAGTACATTTTATAAAAACCGTCCTGGAGTACTCCTTCCACGGCCTCCCTAAGTAATTCTTGTGCACCTTAGGCTTGCTGAAATACAACCTCATGTACTCCGCAGTGCCATTAATGACGCAGTTCTGGAAGACAAAGCCTGTGGACTGGCCCGGGTCAATCCTGCCGTGAGCTGTGACGGCATTGTTTTCGCCCTTCTCGGGCTTGACTTGCCTGGGGGCGACCAGGATGGTGCAGTCTTGGAAGAAAGAGGCAGAGTTGCCAAAAATGAAGTCCACGTTGCCTTGGATACGGCAAGACTTGTAGTATTGGCGCAGGGAATGGGCGTAGAGAGTGTCTTGATTGCCGAGGAATTCACAGTTTTCTACAATGGAAAGATCGCTGTCTGATCGGAAGGCCACTGCTTGGTGAGCATCAGGCCCTGCCGTGTTCTGGAACGTCACACCACTCGCCATGAATCCATCCCCAACAACACCTGATAGACATCACCCACAACATCAATCAATATTTTTTATACTTGTTACAAATTACAAACACAACGAATAATTAGACAGAAATGAGTTGGGTCAAAATATATATGTAATTACTAATTAGAAATAATGAAAGTATTGTTCTTTATAAGCAAAAGGTAATACTTTTCAAAAAACATAAAAAAAAAATAAAATAAAATAATTTAACGCACTGATTAGTATCAGCATTATATTTTATCCATCTTGCATAATCAGTATTTATATGAATTCTAAGGGTGTTTTTGTCATTTCACATGAAATAGTTTATTTTCTGCGGGGTAAAGTATTATTATTAGTGTAAACAAACTGCGGATTTACTCACCGACTGTGGCAGAATTATAGGTACTAACTCCAAGCATGCCCACGTTCAAAGATCCCGTAATGACAGTTTTGCCCATGCCTTCCCCTAGAAACACCACATTCGTTTTCTCGAAAGGGACCCGAACTATCTCCTCGTAAACGCCGGCCTTTATGAGTATCACAAACTTCCGGTCCCGACTGAAATTGGGGGCGCTATTAACCGCATCTTGGATTTTCTTGTACTTGCAGCTTTCTCCGTCGGGGCAAACGGTTACATCCGGCGTCAATCCGGCGGGAACTCCGCCGTTGATACCCGACCCGGAACTGCCAGTCCCCTCCCAGAAGCCGTCGCGCTCCGTTTTGACCGGGCCCCATGACCCGGTTTGTTTCCCGTTGCGGTCGTAGTTCACCAGCATTCCCAGCGCGTTGCTGGTGAGTCCGATGAGCGAGTTTGTGAACGCCATCGTGCTGTTCACCAGCGCGGTGTTGTTGACGTACTTGAGCGCTGACCAGCAGTCGTAGTGGTACACGAGGACGGCGCTCATCCACGCCCGGGCGTCTTTGATCTTGCCGCTCGTCAGGGCATCGCCCACAGATTCCATACGACGCTCCACGTACCCGTAGAGCTCAAGACACGTCTTCGCCGCGTCGGATCGGTTCTTGTTGTCGGAGGACTCGCCCAGGATGCTCTTCACCATGGACTCCGCCTGCTTCAGGTTTTCAGAAGAGACCCTCATGGCTGACTGGATGATCTGGACCGCCGTCGGGTCGGTGGGCACCTGACCCGTGGCAACCAGTGCGGCCTCGCAAGCCGGTGGGTCGACCGAGACCTTGCAGGCATCGCGGGCGGCAGCCGGTAAACCCACGGCAGGGGAGGTAGAAACCGAAGGGGAGTGGGTCCTCCGGTGGCGTGAAGCGGAGGAGAGGGTGAAGAATAGGACGAGGGAGAGGATGAGAGCGAGAGAGAAAGCTGAAGCCATGGAAATGTAGCAGAGCTTTGATCGATAGAAGGGTTTGGCAGAGTTTGTGGCCCATGAAGGAAGCCTTTTTATAGACTTTCTGGGTGGCATCGTGACTCGTAAGTGGGAGGGAATTGATTATTGATTATTGAGGGAGGGTTTTTCCAAAAAAAAAAAAATTGAGGGAGGGTTTTGGGTAATTGCAACAAGAATCGTTGTGCGCCAAGCAATAATTGACTAATTCGACAAATGACAGCCATTGACCTTAAAATCAAGAATCGAGAAACTTATACGTTTTCACATAGATACAGTTTGGATGGGGGATGGGGGATGGGGGATGGAATCACGGGTTCAATAGCTGACGAGAGCAGAGTAATTGGAAGAAGGCGATGTGGCCATTGGGAGAAGACAGAACTATTGATGGTGGGAGTGAGTGGCCATTAAGAATCTTCTTGGCTGTATTCAACTGCAGATCTGCCAAAGAGGAAAGGAAAGGTGAGATGAAAAGGGTTTGTATTTTACTATTTACAGAGGAAAGTGGTTGGATATTTGGACTGATATATGGGGATTTGGAATTTTGGGCCTGTGTATACATACACGCCCACACTGCTTTTGGGGCTTTATGTATACAATTGTAATACATGGAAGGGTTCATATTACATCGTAAATTATGGTTCAAAATTTATTCATTTATAATTAACATATTTCGTACTTGCAGTTAATAATTTTTGTATTTATAAACAAATCAAAGATACATAAATAGTTAATGTAGACACATAAGATGTTGGTTAACATGTTATGTATGCAATTAACATATTATGTTCCTGTAGTTAATAATTTATGTATCTGTAATTATCATGTTTTTATATTTATGAGGAAGGGGAGTACCCAAAAACTGTTTACAATGTGTTAGAAGCCTGCAAAAAAGAGCTAAGAGCGTTTGAAACTTGGCAAGTTACTCCAGTTTATAGAAATCAGAATCAAGCAGCGGACGCAATGGCGAAACTTGCCTCTCGTCTTCCTCCTGGTCTCCATATCAAAACAGAACCACCGGACGAAATAAAAGGTTTCTGTAATTATCATGTTATGTGTCTGTAATTACTATCTAATGTGCCTTCAATTTGTTTACATGTTCAGAAACGATTAACTGTATGTATAGAATATGTTTATTGCAGGTACAAAATCTTAAAATTATTTTTGGATCAAGGTCCACAATGCAAGGTAGATCCTCGTGCATACTATAATTTGAATTATGCATACATTTCTTAATTATTTTTCTCTTTTTATTTTTGTTTTTATTTTTAGAACTCAAGATTTTTTTTTTTTAAATTTTGCTGGATTATGAATAATAAACCAATCAAAACGCGAAAGGAAGAAAGAAAATGCATCTTTGTATGCATAGAAAGCTTAATTAGTAACTTAATTTGAACAACGAAAGTCAGATTTTTATGAATAATAAATGGTACGCTATATGTCTAGGTTCTGCGTTATCTTTGTATGAATAATAAACTCTCCTCCTTGCATTTGCATGTGAGGCAAGCAGTGGCGGACCCAGAAATTCTTTTCAGTGGGGGCAAAACACATCAAAACAAAATAGATAGTTTGATAAAAAAAAATATATTTAAAAGTATAACGATAAATATTGTTGGATGTGGACGAAAAATAACACACATCAAAATTTTATAAAAAAATATGAAACATAATTAATTTGATAAAATCATTCGAATAAAAAATACATTATAAACACATCTCATTATTGATATGAAAGAAAGTTATATATATGTAAATCTCACAATTAATTAATACGAAGTGTTTAAAAGTCATAGAAAATAATTAAATATAACATGAACAATTTGCTGCCAAAGTAACAAGGAACAAATCTGCACAGCAGCAGAAGGATTCGAACCCTGGCATCTAGCAAAGATAACACGCGCCTTACCACTTGATCTACTCATCTTTTATTAATTTTAATATATTTTATTATACTTATACTAAAACTCGTACTATATATACATATATACATACAAGGGTTATATATGTGGTGGGGGTGGGGTGAGGGGGGCAGCTGACCCCACTGCCCCCATGCTGGGTCCGCCTCTGGAGGCAGGGCAATCTTGCTTATGAGTAGGGGGATATGGATATCCATATTCCTAAAGCAATTGTTTTTTCTTTTTAATAAGATAAGATGTGATATGGTGTACCTTAGCTTAACAGTAGCAATCTACTTCATTATTGTAGTTATATTGAGATGGTCAAAATTTCTTAATAAAATCATTGTTATAAGTTATTTTGGCACAATAAATGTCCTACCACTATATATAGAAGTAGTTTAGTATATACTATATTTAGTATACAATATTTACAAGTATAATTATGCTCCTAAGATCCCCATCAATTTAACAATGACAAATTTAGAGTTTTCAATTTTACTTTTTTGGACTAACATTATAAAATTAACACACACTTAATTTCAAATTACTTTTAGACCTTATATTTAAAATATTTTTGGATATGTCTAGTTTAAACTAAATAAATATAATTTTACTTTTAACTCTAATATATGTAAAAATTTTATATGTAATATCCAAATCAAATGTATATCTGTATATAACATAACTAAAAAAAAATATCCGAACGCATAACTTATTAAATTTACCTAAAATTTAGTTTAGATAATATTAATACTTTTTTTGAACTAATATTTAAAATTTTTTTTAAAAATATTCATTTGAATAAAATTGTATTAATAATTTTTACTTTGAAGTCTAATATGTGTGACATTACAATATTTGATATTCTGATCAAACTTATCTTTATCTTCTTTATCTTTATATATATATATATATATATATATATATATATATATATATATATATATATATATATATATTAAAGCAAAATGATTGGCAAAAAAGTTTTCCCTCCAAAGTGTGAAAGTAATAATTGTTGGTTTTTGGGTTTTCAGGCCCAGGGAGGTCCAACACAACCTTAGTTGATGGATTCACCTTTTGCACAAAATTGCAAAGAAATGGCCGTACTCGTAATAGCTTTCAGTGTGTCTCCCCTTTCTCTTGGGATGAACCTGTCTGGATTACAAGGGCGGAGGAGCCTTTATATAGCAGGCTCCCCTCCTACCGACTTGAAGGCCATTAATGACTGACTTCAAGGCTAATTACAATCGTCGAGCCGTTGGGCGCCGTTACCGGATTGATCAACGGCTCCTTGGATCCATAACGGTCTGACCGAGTCCTGCCTTGAATGCCTCCAACGGCTCCGGGGCCGGGTCTTCTTAAATGAGGCTTCTCGACGCTCGCCTAACGGCTCTGAGCCGTCCCTTTGTGGACTTGGGCCTGGGCCGACTCCTGGACTCGGCCCAAGTTCCCACTGGGCTTCTTTCACTGCTAGCCCACGTTCCTTATCTTGGATTCCCTTCTTGGGTCAATCCTTCTTGGGCCGGGGTTCTCACCCCATCAACTAGTCCCTCACTTCTCTGCCATCTTTCCGGATTCATCGGAACCATTTCGATTCTCCTAGCTCCGTGCGGCTCCTATAAATGGTCTCTTATTCTCCTCGTCTTATCCACTGGTCCACCATGGGTCGCTCACCTCTGAAAGGGAAGCGGATCGATTTCGGCTCTCCTCAACGTCCCCTTCCTTCGAAGCGGACTCGACCTGAGAGGGAAAGCAAGAAAAAAGCTTCTCGTCCGACTCCTCGGAGATCTCCTGCTGGTGCTACCTCCTCAGTTTCTCAGCCGCCGACCCCGCCTGAGCAAGAGGTCGTGCCGCCCTTGCTTCGTCCGCCGACTCCAACAACCGCCAGGGTGACTTCTCAAGATGGATCCTTCGTGGAGGTGGCCGTCCTCGAACAATTGACTTTCCGCATGACTTTCTCTATTCCCCTGGATGACCCCGACGGGCCAGTCACGGGTCTGATGGACGATGGGGACTATGCTCGTTACTTGGAGACGTATCCTGATGACGAGGAGCCTGTGGATCTGCCGCTCATGCCACCCTTCTGGGATTCATTCTGCCCCTCTCCCCTTGGGCCATCGGGGGGAAGGTTCTTTGGAAGCGACTCCTCCTCACCCGGCGAGTGATCACCTTGACCAGTGTTGGCTTCATGTTTCTGAGGGGCTTACTTAGGAGCATTTTAATTATCTTCGTTGTAATAAGCTCCCGACCCCTTGTATCCCCTTCTTTTCAATAAACTGCTATTGTTCTGTCCTGTCTTATATCTCGTGTTTGTCGTGTATCCCTCCGGGCGATTGGTTGAGGAGTCGGCCACATCGTCAGGCCTTTTTTCAGTCTAACATCTGCAAGATTCCCCATATCTTGGGTGAATCTAATCTCTGACAGAGATTCGCACCTTCCATCCAATCCGGCTCAGTTATGTCAGTTACAATTTCCTCCGTGATTCTCGCCTAGGTATCCGCTTCCATTGGGCTATATAAGGACCCTTCATGGTTCGTGCAAATCACAATACATCTCATTTTTGAAAGCACGGAGCTATGAGTTACAGAGACGGTGATCGCCGCTGGTCCATTCGTAACTAGGAGCATGCTCGACTGGAGAAGCTGAAGCAAAAGAGGCTAGCTAATGGAGGTCGTCTGGTGGGCGACTCGGCCTCAGACCCCATTGTGGTGCCCCCGAACATGCTGGACCTGATGTGCAAGGAGCTTGCTGTCGCGGAAATGGAACCAGTGATGGACGACCCAGTTCCAGAGGAGGAAGAAGTGTGGGAGGTTCCTCCGCTCTTTGGGGTGGCTATGTCTCCGAGCGCCCTAGAGAGGCCCCTGCAAATGGTCGATGATGGGAAGCCGGCTGTGTATCTGGACGAGGTGTCGGAGCCTGAGCTGAGTCCTCTACCTTTCCGACCTCAGTACTTCTTGGAGGGTCCTCCGCCAGCTCGCCCGTCGGAGGAGAAAGAAGCCAAGTTCTGATCTACTTTTCCCTTGTATCCTGCCTCTGGCTGAGTCCTCGGCCTTGTACTTTTCATGTTTTATCGAATAAACTGTATGCTTTTCGTTTTACTTGATACTTGTACCTACTTTGATCGACTTCCACTCCCTCCCTAATGGGATCTTTCTTGTTTGGGAGTCGCCAGATCTGGTGGTCCGACTCCGAGACTGAAATCTTCTCGTGAGCCTTGCTTGCGTTGACTGACGGACCGGATTCCTTCGGGTTTCTCTGGAAGCTTATAACTAGACCTAGTGGGCCCAAAGGCCGCAGCCTACTATGGGCTTCTGGCTTAGCAGGCCAAGTCAGTGTCACCGGACCAAGCCTAGGGTAGACGCGCCGCCTGCAGGCTAGCCCTAGGCCTGAACCGCTTTTCCGCCTTTTGAGGCATTAATTACGGCGTCCTTTCACTTCTTGTCACCCTTCTCTTCTCTAATGAGAGGGTGACACTTGGCCGTCCGTTGGGATTCTCCCCCCTTTTAAATAGCCATCTTCTTCATCTTCCTCTCACTTTTCTCTCAATTCTCCATACTCAGTGTTAAGCACCTCCGATCATCTTCTGCATTTTCCTCAGTCCACACACTCAGGTTGGTAAATGTCTTCCTCCTCACACTCTTCTTCTTCTCGTCGTCGCTCGGTCGATAACCCGGCGGTGACTTCTACGTCTTCTTCTTCTCCTTCCTCTTCCTCTTCTTCTTCTCCTCGTCGCATGGAACTTCCGGACAGTCTTCAATTGACGTCTTCCTTTCAACCGACCCCCTCTTCCTCGGGGGCGGCTACTCCCATGAGCCCTGCTCCTCTAACGACGATAGCGGCTCTGCCAGACGGCGCCGGACGGTCGCGAGGCAAGTTTGATTCTATCGTCCGGCCGGCTGGGCCACCGTCCGTCGTTACTGCGGCGGACCTGGACATGGCCCGCTTTTTACTTGGGCCTTCGGCCTTAGTTTTTGCCCCAGAGGGCCGGCCCATTCATGACCCACCGGAGGGTTGTGTGGGTATTCACTTGCACTCGGTTGCCTTCGGCTTTCGAGTTCCTCCGTGTCCATTTCTCTCCCTCTTTTTTCGCTACTACAATTTGGTTCCGAGTCAACTAGTGCCCAATTCTCATCGCCTCCTCACCTGCTTCATAAATCTCTGCCACTGGTGGATGTGTGAGCCGGATCTAGACCTGTTTCGGTATCTCTTTACCGTGAACAAGGTTGGCTCGCACTCGCCGGGCTTTGTTCAGGTTGCCGCTCGTCCGGGGCGACAGCTTTTCGAGGGGTTGTCCGACTCTATCAAGGACTGGAAGCCCCTCTACTTCTTCGTTCGCCCCTCTCTTTCTTCCTTCACCTTTCCGACCTTGTGGCCGGCTGCTTTATTCAAGCCCTGCTCTCGGCGCGCCGTCTTCTCTCAAGATGCGATCCAGGGTGGCGAGTTCTTGAGGGGCTTTGGGTCGTACTCTGTTAAGTACTGGTCTCGGGTCTGAGCTATGGCCAAACGAGGCTTGCTGCCAGACGGCGCGACCACCTTAGGTAGTTCTCCCATGCCTTTCCTTTACCTTTCTTTTCCTGCCCGACTGTTAATACTAATCTTTCTTCTTTACAGGTCCTTACGACTCCGACTCCACCAGTTCCGACGAGGCTGCCGCTCCGACTCCAGAGATGGTCGACAGAGCTGAAAAGATGAGGCGCCGACTGACTCAACGCGCCACCGGCGCTGCTGCTGCCTCTTCCTCCCAACCGTCGCCGGCTCCAAAGTCGACTCCTCCACCACCACGTACCGTGGTCGACTTGACGCCATCGCATGTCGTCTCGCCTACTTGACAGCTGCCTCCTCCGCCATCTGAGAGTCCAAACAACAAGCGGCCGGTCGAGTAGTCGGATGCGCCGGCTCCGAAGAGGATCCGGTTGAGTCACGAGGTGGATGAGGATGCCCAGATCTAGCAAGGCACCTCCTCCGTCCGCACCTGGGATGAACACGTTCTCCTTCCTAAGGACGTGGAGGCGACTGGCGCCATGCCGGACGAGTACATCATCGAGCCATCTCTTCGCCAATCCTACCGCGTAAGTGTTTCCGACCTGCCTTTTTTCCAGCTCTTTTTCTTCTTGTTATCTGACTTCTTGTCGCTTTGCAGAACCTCACTTTCCAGATGGAAATGCGTAGGCGACTAAGGGAGTATAAGACCGGGCTGCAGTCTCTGGCCCTTCGGGTGCGCCAAACTGAGGAGGCTTTCCTGGCAGAGCAGGCTAAGCATGCCAAGTCGGTGGAGGTGCACACCTCCGAGATGCTAAGGGTCACCCGTCAGTGGGAGGAGGAGCGGGACAAGGTCGCGACTATCGCTGCGACTTCGGTGGAGGACTACAAGAAGTCGGCGGCCTTCGAGGTGGACGTGAAGGCGGTGGTGGCAGCAAGACAGAAGGAGATCGCCCAGGAGTGGCTGGCGACACCGGAGGGGGATGACACCTCCTGGATCTGGGCGAGCGTGACTATCGCCTTGGTTTCCGTGAAGCTCAGTCGGAGAATTATGCTGCTCTGCTGGCTCGTGATTCTACCTTCACTCCCGAGAGCTGGGGCCTCAAGCCACTGCTGGACCTTCTTCCGACGACTGATCAGCCTGCATCGACTGTAGATCCGGCCGCTCTCCCTGTGGTGGAGTCCGCAGATCCGACAGCTCTCCTGGTGGCGGAGCCTTCAGAGCTTGCAGAGTCGCCTCCTCAGGCGGAAGACTCCTCACTCGTTCCTCCAGCTGGACCAACGGCAGGAGGGCAGGTCGAGAGGGTTAACGTCGACACTCCCCCCCAGTAGCTTAGGGCTAGTCTTTTTAGATAGCCCCCTTTTTTTTTTTTGTATGGGCTGGCATCCCTCTCGGGCCTTTATTATTAATGAAATTTTCCTTTGCTCCCTTTGATTGCCTTCATCTTTTTTCCGCTTTTGAACTTTCTTGAAATAATTTAAGGCCTCGGGCTTCTTCATTCTGTTGGACTGTCTTAGTTAATGATTTTGTCTCGCCGAGTCCTTCCCATGAGGCGACTCCTCAGTCTTCTTCTTCTTCTAGAAACAGTTAAGGGTCAGCGCCCCGTCGTTTCTTTATATACTCGCCGAGTCCCTCAGTCGAGGCGACTCCTTTTGGCTTTTTCTTCACTTAGAAACAGTTGAGGGTCAGTGCCCCGTTGTTTCTTTATATACTCGCCGAGTCCCTCAGTCGAGGCGGCTCCTTTTGGCTTTTTCACGGAAACGACTAAGGGTCTGGGCCCTTGTTTCCTATCTCTCTTGCCGAGTCCCTCAGTAGAGGCGACTCCTTAGGCTTTTTCTTCACGTGCCCCATTGTTTCTTTATATACTCGCCGAGTCCCTTAGTCGAGGCGACTCCTTTTGGCTTTTTCACGGAAACGACTAAGGGTCTGGGCCCTTGTTTCCTATCTCTCTTGCCGAGTCCCTCAGTCGAGGCGACTCCTTAGGCTTTTTCTTCACTTAGAAACAGTTAAGTGATAGTGCCCCGTTGTTTCTTTATATACTCGCCGAGCCCAAGCGGAATTTGGCCGTAATTCGTGCTCTTTTTATTCAAGTTTCGAAACTTAGGCGCGTGTACATGGCTAACCTCCTTCTACTGGTAGAATTTCTTCAAATGGATGACGTTCCAGATCCGGTCTATGGGCTTGCCCTCCAAGGTTTCAAGCTTGTAGGTGCCGGCTTGGACCACCGCGGCAATACGGTACGGTCCTTCCCACTTGACTGCGAACTTGCCCCCCTCCGTGGGTTGACTCGCCTGCCGGTCTCGTAGCACGAGATCTCCGACTTGGAAGGTTCGTGGGCGGATCCTTCAATCTCGATACCTTTTCACGGCTTGTTGGTATTCAACCATCCGGGCACCCGCGACTTCCCTTCTTTCTTCTAGGAAATTCTTCTCAATTCGAAGGTTCACTTCGTTCTCTTCATCGGAGTAATTACGGACTCGATGAGTGGGCTCTACAACTTCTATCCGAACTTTGGCCTCGAAGCCATATGCTAGGGAAAACGGGCTCTCGCCGGTCGCTCGTCGTTGAGTAGTGCGATAAGCCCATAGGACTCGGTCAAGCTCATCCGCCCAATTCCCTCCGATATCCTCTAACTTCTTTCAGATCCTGTCCACTGTGGTCCGATTCGCGTTCTCGACTTGGCCGTTGGCCTGGGGGTATGCCACGGATACCTTGGTGTGACGGATATCGTGTTGGCAACAGAAGTCGGTGAACGCCTGACAGTCGAACTGTCGACCGTTGTCGCTAACGATATGTTCGGGCAGGCCAAAACGGCAAATCACCTTCTTCCATAGGAAGCGTCGACATTGATATTCGGTGATGGTGGCTAGAGGCTCGGCCTCGATCCACTTGGTGAAGTAATCGATGGCCACTACGCAGAATTTCAAGCTTCCCGGGGCGACTGGCAGCGGTCCCAATAAGTCGATTCCCCATTTAGCAAAAGGAATGGCCGTGGTGACCGGGGTGTAAAAGGTGGCTGGCCGCGTGTCCTTCCTGGCGAAGGCTTGGCACACGCCACACTTCGCTATCCACTCGATGCAATCCCGCATCATGGTTGGCCAGTAGTATCCTTGGACGACTAGTTTTCGGGCGAGTGTGTGGGCACCCTGGTGGGCGGCGCAGATGCCTCTATGGGCTTCGTCCATTATCTTCTCGGCCTCGGGTCTGAGCAGGCATTTCAAAAGAGGACCTCCGAATGACCGCTTGTATAGCTGTCCATCGAGGATTTGGAAAGAAGGGGCCTTCCGTCGAACGTTAGCGGCGACTCCTGCGTCTTTGGGCAACTCGCCCGTTTCTTTAAACCGTCGGATATCTTCGATCCAAAACATCTCGGGGTTCTTTTCCCGATCCCATTCTACGCGGGTCACCTGCCGGACTTCCAACGGCGTCTCCTCGATACTCGACCGACTCAGCTCTTCCTTCTGGCAAATCTTAACGAGGTGGTCCGGTGATCTTGGACAGTATGTCGGCAGTGCGATCTTGGACAGTATGTCGGCTTCCACGTTGTCTGCCCGAGAGATATATTCTATTTCGTAGGCCCTGAACTCTTTTAGCATCTCCACCGCCTTTTCTCTGTAAAGGGTCATCCGGGCGTTCCTAGCCTCACACGTGCCGGAGATCTGCCCAACTACTAATCTAGAGTCGGTTTTGATCCGCAATCGTTCGACTCCCAGTCCCTTGACGAGTCGAAGACCATTCAGCACTGCCTCATATTCGGCCTCGTTGTTGGATGTTGGGAACAAATAGCTCAGGGCGTAATACAGTCGGAATCCTTCTGGAGTGATTAGCATGACTCCACCCCCGCAATGTTGTCGACTAGCGGCTCCATCCGCGTGCATCTCCCACCATTTGCCGAAGTCATCTTCCGAAGTGCGTACCTTTTCTTCTTCACTTACTGTGCATTCGACCAAGAAGTCGGCCAAGGCTTGGCCTTTTAGGGAAGGCCGTGGTTGATACTCGATCCCGTACTGGGTTAATTCCACGACCCACTTCACCAAGCGACCGGACGACAAGGGGTTCCGCAAGACGCTCCCCAAAGGTTGATCAGTCAGCACTCGGACAGTGTGGGCTTGGAAATAAGGCGCTAACTTGCGCACGGTGATCACCAGCGCATAAACTATCTTTTCTAAGGCCGTGTACCGGGTCTCGGCGGCTTTCAAAGAGCGGCTCACATAATACACCTGGTGCTGTGCACGTTCCTCTTCTCGGACCAGCACAGAGCTCACCGCCTTCTGGGAGGCGGCCAAGTATAAATACAGAGGTTCACCCACCTGGGGGGTGGACAATACGGGAGGCGTAGAAAGGTACCGCTTCAATTCCTCGAACGACTACTGGCACTCGGCTGTCCAAGCGAAGCCTTCCTTCTTCCTCATGGCTTCGAAGAAGGGTGTAGTTTTATGCGCTGCCTTGCTCAAGAAGCGACTAAGGGCAGCCAGTCGTCCAGTTAGCCGCTGCAGGTCTTTGACGGTACTGGGAGGCTGCACGTCGATGATAGCTTGAACCTTCTCGGGGTTAGGCTCAATGCCTCGTTTAGTAACCATATATCCTAAGAACTTTCCGCCTTGCACTGCAAAGGCACATTTCTTAGGATTTAGTCGGAGATTATACCGTATCATTACTTGGAAGCAATCGGTCAGATCTCTCGCATGCTCGCCCTTTTCTTGGCTCTTGACGAGCATGTCGTCCACGTACGCGGCCATGGATTTTCCCAACAGATCTTGGAACAGCCGGGCCACCATCCGGGTATAAGTAACTCTGGCATTCTTAAGTCCAAAGGGCATGACTCGATAACAATACACTCCGTCCGGTGTAAAAAATGCGGTCTTTTCCTCATTTGCCGGGTGCATGAAAATTTAATGGTACCCTCTGAAGGCGTCCATGAAGCTTAACAGGGCCGACCCGGTGGTTTCGTCGACTAGCTGATCAATCCGAGGCAAGGGAAACGGATCCTTCGGGGAGGCCTTGTTGAGGTCGGTGTAATCAACGCATATCCGCCAAGCCGGGGGCTTGGGTACGAGAACTACGTTTGCCAACCATTCTGGATATTTAACCTCTCGAATGTGGCCCGCAGCCAACAGCGTGCTCACTGATGGACAATTTTAATAGTCCTCGCAAGTGCACGAGTCACTGTAGTAATAGTGTGCAAAGCAAGGGTCGATCCCACAGGGAATTGATACAACGCAATTTAATTACTAAACTTAAAGAGATAATTGATGATAATGTAAAATACTAGAAATCAAATGCTAAAGATGAATTTGAATACTACATAATTAAATCAAATTGAGGAAGCTAATTAAGCAAACAAATTACGGAATCAACTCCTTAAAACTAGTCATTAGCATCTCAATACAATCCAAATTGAATTACGACAATCATTCAAAACCAATTATATAAATTCATTAAGCAATATAGCAATTAAATGAAATGAAATGCTTTCTGAAAAGTTAAGTAGTGTGACTCACAAATGTGTTGTACTGAAAGAAAAGATAAAACAATGAAGGGAAAGAAAACAAAAATGCATTCCTAGAAATCGTAAAGCCAAACAGTGCTACCAAATTAAGCAGACTTTGTTGTCGAAAATTGATGAAACAAGAATGGCTGGCATCGAGGATTAACTTAGAGTTGCCGATCAAAAATTGTTGCTACGCCGAGGAGAAATATCCACGCCACCACCCAAAATTCATCAAACCCAGAATTTCGTCGTCACCGAAAATAGTCACCAGAAAACCAAACCCAGCCGTACCAACCGGAGTTGCTCCGGGGTAAGATTGATGATCCACAATTGAAGATTGGCCTCCCTTTATACAAACAGCCTTGCCTGTAACTCTTCAAATTTCGCAGTCGCAGAAGGCCTTGATCCAAGGAAAGCCATCGAAGCCTCTACTAATTAATCGGTCAAACCTCTTGATCCTTGCCTTCCGGTGACGTTGATTTACGAAGGGAAAGACAAGGTCTTTTACTCAATGAATTAACATTTATTAAACTTAATATGATGGCTGTTAAAAAAAAAAAACTAACCAAATAATAAAATACTAAAACACAATATATATTTATAAAACTGATTACAAATAAGTTATAAAAGATTATTAAACTTGATAATAATAGGGATAACTTAATTATTTGGGATGACTAACACATTTTATTAACTAATAATAATAATAATAATAATAATAATAATAATAATAATAATAATAATAATAATAATAATCTTATTAGAGTCCATATATAACTAATCTACATTTATTAAATTCCTATTGATCATGTACTAATAAAATTAATATTATTATTATTAAATTAGGATCAAGGAATTATTGGACTGCCAGAATTCAAAAAATAAAACAAATTTAATAAGTAAAATAACCTAAAATTGAATAATATTAACAAAGCTACTAATCACAATAATAAATAAAAATAGATATAAAATTAATCAATTATTGTATATTAACTATAAAAATATTATTAAAAATATCAACAAAAATAATATTTATCAAATTTCCCCAGACTTATTTATTTGATTGTCCTCAAGCGAAGACATTATTAAAAAGAAACAAAAGAAATTAAAAAAAAAACAAACATTAAACTGAGCTTTTCCCGAATAGACTCTCAAATTTATTGACAACAATGCAGGGTTAGTGTCAACTCAAAGAGTGCATGAAACAGTTGACTATAAATTAAAAAACTTAACAACTAAAATAAATATAAATTGTGCTCGTGTGCTGAAACCCCTTATATGAACTATACAAAAACTCAATAGAATACTATGAAAAATTTCACCAAATGCAACCTAAACCAAATTCAGAAATATTCTATCACAGTGCAGGTGAAAAACATGAAGGAAACAAGGATCAAGGCATTTATTGAAAATTAAAATGCAATTGCTCGTCTCTTTCCGAGTTCACTCATTATTTTTCTGTTTATGACTTTTTTTTCAAAGAGAACTTCCCCAAAAACCTCGCCATTTTACGCCAGACTTGTTTGGGTTTTCAATTTCGAGTGTACTCATAAACCAGACCACGACACTTATTGATTTATTTATTATACATGTGTATAGGTGGTTGATTCAGCGGAGTAGGATCTCTTATTTATTACAAATGAAATAAAATAAATAGAACACTCATTTTTATTTAATATATATTTTTTTATCTTTTATATTTTTTTTATTTCACCTCACTTATGCCACGAAGGTGATCCTTGAACCAACACACTACACCACAATTTATAGCACTTAAGAATTTATTTAAGAATTTGATAAAAGTAATATAAGGTGAAATCAACATATAAACTATCACAGAAATTGTATAAAATATAAAGGTATTTGTGATTTTCAAATTCTATTTATTTTTTTGTTTTTTTGTTTTTTGTTTTTGTATATATATGATTTTTTTTTGACAAAGATATAAAATTAAAAAAATTAACAATTAGTCAAAAGTAATATACTCACTAAGAGTTTGACAAAAACATGCATTATTTCTATCAACGAATATTAAAAGACTTATAGATAAAAGCTCAAACTAATGCTAGAATTTTAAAATAAAAAAAAAATTTAAGAAAATGAACATAAGAAAATTAAAAAGTTTGAAATTAAAAAGGGTAAGAAAATGAACATAAGAAAATTTAAAAGTTTAAAATTTTTCAATTTTTTGTGATTTGTGGGTAAAACCCCTTCCCCACACTTATTTTCAACATTGTCCCCAATGTTGTGAGAGGAAAGAAAAGAAAACAAAGAGAGTCCTCCTCTAATAGATTTTTTATTTGTGAAATTCTCATATGACCCTGCAGTGTGAGAATAACAAAAAGATACTAATTTATCAACGCCATTCAAAAGATTTTCTTTTTGAATTTTATCGAAACCCAACTTACCATCATCAGCAAAATTCAACCCTGCAAAAACTTGGTTATATCTATCAGACAGATTCATAGATGTAAAAATTGAAAACTTTGCAGTTTCAGCAAGCACATTTTTGGTCAATTTATCTGCTTGAGCATCAATGGGTATTGGGAGCAATTCTTTTTGTAGCTCTGCACCTACCGTTTCAGGCACACAACTTTTGAGCCTATTTGGAAACGGAATTGGGGGCACAAAAGGCTCGGGTGCTACATAGGGCTCCTCCTCCTCAAAATCTTCATTTTGAATAGGTTTGGTGTTTTCAATACTTTCATTAACAGGAATTGGGGGCACATAAAGATTGGGATGCACATAAGGGTTATCAGATTTATGCAATTGAGCCTCATCATTTTCAACAATAATATCATCAACATCATTATGCAATTTTTCAATTATTTCAGTTGGTTTAGAAGTGATATTATCTTTTAACTTGTTTTCATTATTCAGAGCTTCTTCAGATTGACTAGGTAACTTACCTGACACATGCCCTTGCACAAATTCAGCAATTTGCTCTAAATGTGCTTCTATTCTTTTAAAGCAAGCCTCATTTTCTTGGAACCGTTGTTCATCTTCTTCTTGTTGCATTTGGTGCTCATAAGCTTTTTGTTGCATCCGTTTCTCATAAGCTTCTTGCCGCCTGGTGAGCTGTCGTAGGCTCCCAAATTAAAACCTTACAAACGTAGTAGCGGGAGTAAGGATCGATCCCACGAGGAGTAACTAGTTTAACTTTTGTGCTCAAGGAAATAATGGGGGGTTTGGAATATATCGAGAATAAATATTAAATAAAAGAGAAATTAAATAAACGAGAAATTTAATCGAACGAATAAACAGTGAAAATAATATATCGAAAACACTTATAATAAGAAACCTTGGTTAGTAAAGATCCACCACCGAAATTTAACACTGATCATTGATTAATAAAGTAATTAATATGCAATTGAATATTTGTCGTGAAATTATTTCATTTCTGTTTTCCCTTAGTTGTAGGTAAATAAAGCACAAGCGGTTTAATTACCCCTAACTACTAAATAACCTAAGACAAGCGCTATAGATTTAATTTAATAGCAGCAATAGGAACTAGGAAAACCGACAAACTAAATAACACAAGCACAAGCGGTTGCATTTAATTTAGGAAAATATTCTTCCCGAGTCCAATTATCACTAAGCCGTCAATAATTAACCCAGTTGCTACTGAATATTAGAATAATTTGTAGCACAACATTATCTAATATAGCAAATAATTATATCAAATAAATAACTAGTAGGCCTCCCTAGCAATTAAATGATACAACTATTCAAATAATTTAGAAGAATATTTAATACTCAAAATGCATAAAAACATATATATAATAAAATTAAATAAATAACCTTACAGCGTTATGAACTCCGGGGCTTCAATTCACTAAACCAACTTGAAATTAGCCACAAATGGACATTGATAACAACCTTAAAGAATATTCGAGAGGGGAAGAATGAACATTTTCCAATAGAAAGCTTATTCTATTTATAGTATTCTCAAAATAGAATTCTACCATTCAATTCATTCCTATTTTTGCGCCGTACGAATGGATCTTGCTCAGTCTTGCCGCAATCTTCGCACAATGTTGACGACTCCTCTTTGCCACACGCCATGTACAAAGCAAATAAAATATAAGGTTCAATATTTTGTTGCATGCTAAGAAATTAGGGAGTGGAATAAACTAATACTAAAATAATAAAAATATAAATACTAAAAAATATATATAACGCATATATATGTATAAACTGTAAACTAGTACATAATAAATATATATATATATATATATATATATATATATATATATATATATATATTTTAGATAGTACGTAATATATATTCTATATATTATATATTATATATTATATATTAAATTCTAA